AGTTCCTTGCAGATATGAGAAGACCATCTTCCGTTTTACGGAGGTTGAGACCCATTACAGGTATTTAACTATCTTGAGGGAAAGAAACCTTTTTGGATTGTATATTATAAGATTGCTTGTCTGTCCCTCATAACTCCCACCTGATTCATCCACTCCTATCCCCTTACTCATTCTCTGTTGCCCATCTGTGCCCCCCAACCCTTTATTTCAGTGTTTACAAATGCATTTGCTTCAGGACTGAGGCATCGTAGGATCTATGTGTATCTTCTAGATGGGAAAATCCTACTATTGTAAACCATATCATTGGCAGTTCAGGATAGTTCCTGATTGTATATTTATTATGCAGTCTAGTATTTCAAGTGCCAAGTGATGGGTGTCTAGATGTTTCCCTTAGTAAATTATTTCACAGGCTAATAGACCTTTCTTTCAGGATATTTTTCAGACGTGAAAGGCAAGTATATTTACCCTTCTCCACTCTAGAAAACAGCATTAATATGCACACTGAATTTGTATTTTTCTTTCAATTATTGTAATAAAAATATTTTTTTTTCTATAGCTCAGCTGAAGATAGACATATCTCCAGCCCCAGAGAATCCTCATTACTGTCTAACTCCAGAATTGCTGCAAGTCAAACTTTACCCAGATAGCAGAGTTAGACCTACAAGAGAGATACTGGAGTTTCCTGCTAGGGATGTGTATATTCCAAATACTACTTATAGGTAAGATTTTGAAATATATTTTAATCCCCATAAGATCAGCAGGTCCAGACCTTCCACACTTATCATGTGATTTGCTGCAAAACTTGCCATAGCATCAGATTCCCTGTGCCAAAGACATCATAAAGAGTCAGATTCTTATGGCAAAAAATAAACAGCTGTAGAACAGTTCTTTGCAGAACCTAGTAGACCTAGCTGCATATAACTCAGCAATTTGTGGGCTTTCTTACAGTCTGAGCGAGCTTTCTTCATTTTTAGTCTGTATGAGGTTTGCTTGAGTTTCGGTTACAAACAAACCCAAAACCTCAAAGGAAATTTCAGTTGCAACCTCACATGTTTCATGTGGTTTTGCGTTAAAATCATAATTACTTCAGCACAGTCCCAACATGAAACCATAAACCTGAGCTGTCTTTCAGTTACATAATGAAACTCAAATCCAGATGAGTTTTACAACTGTGTCAGTAAATCGGGGCTATGGTATCCGTGAACAAGGGGTTAATTTCAGCACATCTTTTCCCTCCTTTTGCTCATGTGTCATGGGGAGGTGCTGTAAGAGTAACATTAATGGCTATTAGCCAGGATGGGTAAGTAATGGTGACCCTAGCCTCTGTTTGTCAGAGGGTGGAGATGGATGGCAGGAGAGAGATCACTTGATCATTACCTGTTAGGTTCACTCCCTCTGGGGTACCTGGCATTGGCCACTGTCGGTAGACAGGATACTGGGCTAGATGGACCTTTGGTCTGACCCAGTACGGCCTTTCTTATGTTCTTATGTTGGAAGGCAGAAGGGAGAGAATGCCTTTTGGGAAGATAGGGTCACATGCTCAGGGGCCATAGGATTGGGTTGGACCTAGAGATGATCAAAATTTTTTCTTGTAAACATTTTTTCGATGCAAAATGTCTTTGACTGTATGAAAATTTTAGTAGAAAAAATTCCTATAATTTGAAAAGCTATTTTTAATTGAAAAAAATGTTTAGAAGAAAAAATTTCCACCAGCTTTAGGTTCAACCCAGCCCTTTGATGTGTCAACAGAACTACATAGTGCATTGCCGGTTTATCATTCAAAATACTGCACCAGAACAAAACACAAAATGTTGTGTGTTCAGTTTTCAGTATTTTGGTTTCCCTATCATTTTTCTCTCATACTCCTCCTCTACCCACTTTTTGGTGGGGGTGAAAAAAGGAGAAAGAACATTTATCTCCTGTGAAAAATAAAAATAAAAGAAAATCCACCAAAAAATTGGAAAAGATAAATTTAAATAATTTTCTGCAAGAATTTTTATTATTACTGTTTTTGACCAACCATAACTCCCCTCCAAGCTGGAGGACAGATTTGCTGTCTTTACTTTCAGACCATCTTAACTTATTTTGCTTTTTTCTTATAAACATTAACCCTTGAAGAGAATACATTACTGACTGAGACTGTCCTTTTCTGCTGAGTCATTTCACCAGTTCACATCTCTGCATTACATTTTAGTATAAACATTTCATAGATCTCTAATAACTGCTTAAATATAGTCACAGTAAATATTTTGTTGACCTGTTCATAGCACTTCAGTACATATTCAGGTATAAATCCTATGGATAGTCAAACGATTAAGCGCATTAAAAATCAATTACCTGCATTGAAATTATACTAATGTCCTACAGATCATGTGGAACATCAGCATTTCACATTACAAGACTAAAACGTTTTTTTGTTCCTTGTAGTATGTATATAACAAACATTTTTATTACCAGCTACCCATTTAAACTGTTTCTGAAAGTATATTCTTTAGCTACTTCATTTATTGTACTTATGTGGTCCCCCATTACCATAGTATCTGAGCATCTCGCAATCTTTAATGGATTTATCCTCCCTATACCCCTGTTGGGTAGGGACATGCTGTTTTTATGAGGAAGAGAGGCTGGGTTCTTCTGGGGGAGCCAGTCCTTCTCTGCCCTTCCAAATTACTTCATTCTTCTCCTAGCTGACCATCCTGATCTGCCCTGTCTCCCCTTCGTAATCATTTCCATCCCTTGCCTCATGCTGGAAGGCTGCAGTCATTGGGCAGCTGTGGGCCGGGCATAACTGGCCTGGCTCCAGGACCCAGCTGTTAGCTCAAAGCCTGGCCATTAGGAGTGGGTGATGGGCTGCTTACTCATGAGTCTTACTTTCAGAGACTGGGGATGGGGGAGGAAGCTGATGAGGTGGGGAAGGGCTCGTTTTGCAGCTGTGATAGAGGGGAAAGGAGACGGAGGCAGTGAAAGTAGGGAGATGAAAACCCATCTCACATTCTTCATCATAGAACACTAAGGGTCAGATGTTGGGGTTCTAAAACATCAGACTCTACCTGTCAGTCAAGACCCTCTCTCCTGCTAGAGGATTTTTACCAAGGATTTGAACTCTTGGGCTCTTTCGCTAGAAGTAGCTAGTGCTGAAGTCCATTGAAAGTGTATCTAAACTGCAGGTCTGACACGTGTTTTAGCCCAACCCCATCTTACCATCCATACATAAAGCCCTTGACACATGTATTTAGATCCTCAGGATACATGCTTGCTAGCGTGTCCAGGAGTATAGGTACCCCTGTACCTATGTCTTACTGAAATTTGTGTCTCAGACCATCCACTTTGCAATGAGGATGAAGCTAAAGCATGTGTTGCTGAGGTCATGTTTGAATAGGCCGCCAATGCTATCCCACAATTCCCATGGCTTATATATCTTTCTACAGACCCAACTTCCTGCTCTTCAGGGGCAGGACATCTCTCATTGGTTTTTTTTCCAGATGTTTGGCAGTCTTCTATGGGTCTAGTGACTGGGGCTTAACCAGGAAGTAATGACTTTTCTTGACTCGACAGTGAATTGGTTTGTGTCTGTGGATTAGTCTATTAGCAGTGAAAAAACCCAACACCAGACCACTGAAATTGGAGAGCTTCGAAGTACAGTCTAAATAGCAGTACAGTAGATTTATCACTCAGGTATTGTTACAAGGGGCAGGACAGGGGAGTGAGGATCCAGTCCTGGGGGTAGGATGGAACAGCACAAGCTGGTGGGAAAAACTGGTGAGACAGCTCTGCTGTTTCTTGTCTTCCAAGGCAGACGGGGACTTGAGATTTGCACAGAGGATAAGCAGCACCAAGACAGTTCTTGTCCTCATCCCCAGACTACCTTTCCTTTAAGCTGGTGTGGGTCTCCTTGGCCTCTGTGAACTAGACAAACCTCTGTATGGGTACAACCAACTCACAGAAAACTAACCCTTTAAGAATTCTTTTATTCATGGTACATATTAGTTTCTTTTTGGAAATCTTCTTTATTGATTTTTAAAGTGTCATACAAACAACTAAACATTTCCAGTACATCGGTACAAATGTGCAGTTTGTCTTGATTGAGCATCTTACTTTGATTGTAATGAGTGCATTTCAACAGCATCAGACCTCTAATTAAATTAGTTAGTTCATTGTTTCTCTGAAATTTGCTAATTATATTCAACCTTGTTTTTATTTTGACAAAATATAGTTTAAAAAGGTGGGGGGGGCGTTTAATGGCTACAGATGTTAAAATGCTACAAAATTCATACAGTACAGTTGTTAGGTAAGATAGAAAAGTCAATATGACTCAAAATAATCACATTCTACGGCTCCTACCATGCAAACACTTACACGCTTAACCGTAAATATGTGAATAGTCCCATCTTTGCGGGTTCCTCCTTTGAGTAAATTTATGCAAATCTGTGTTTGCAGGATTGTGACTGAAGGTCCTGCAGGATCTTATAGTCCTTACCAATGTGATTAGTTGAGTTGCACCATTGACTTCAGTGGGATTTCTTGCATAGGTACAGGTTGCAGGATTGGTTTCTATTTATATTAAAGACAATCGGTCTGTTTCAAACACAGCACTTTGTCCAGTTGATTCCATAAATAAGGTATACCAAAAGGTAATTTAAGGGCCTGATTCAAAGCCCATTGAAATCCATGCGAAAAACTAATGGCAGTCTTTGGATCAGGCCCTAATAATTATTCTACAAAGTATAATATAAAAGGTTAGTTTCACATTCTGGATTTCCAGATATGCTGCTTTCATAGTTGCATGAGCACAACAATGAAGATCTGGCTCAAGATGCACAGCTGGATGTTCACATTTAAATACATAGTACCATAAAATGCAGAATTATTTGCCAATTCATTCATGCATAGACACATTCCAAGACTATAGTACTTGAGTCTAACATGAAAGTAAATTACTTTATAAAGTAAAATCTTTTTTTCTTCAAAACTAATACTTAAATGTTTTCTGTAGAATTCTGTCAGTCTGTTATTTTTATTGAAACATTTTGATTATTCTCCTCTACATAATCCAGAAACGAATGCATTGGCCTGAAAATTCTTGTCCACATGCAATACAGTCTGCCAAAATATCAAAAACACATCCAGTTTCTAGGCACTAGTGTTCAAAGGTGGGGATGCGTACGTAGTTTTGAACTTGAAATATATTTATATTGGAAAAAATAATAATATTCTCAAAATATACCATAAGACCATAGCAGACTCCTCCGTGTTGTATCATTGAGTAGTATGGAATATATGTAATGCCTTGTATTTGGGCATTCAGCCCTGATTATTAGTTCATGTTATGTTTAATGTTCAGTGAATATGTGTCCAATTAAACACATCAGAATGAGGTTTCACTCAAAACTTTCTAAATCCGTAGGATGTATCATCAGTTTGGTTGACTTGATCAAATAGAATCTTCCTTTCTGAGGCTTCCAGTATATTCCTCGTCTCCTTTCCAGTTTTCCTTCTGATCTTGGTTTGATATATTTTCCATTCAGATTGGTTTCCCCACACGCTCTGTGCCACCAGCCACCTAAAAACAATATTTTGGTGTCATTTAGTCCAAATTTTACTTTTCCTGTTTGACGTCAGAAGGCTAGTCACTGATTTGGACTGCATTTTCAAAATAAGGCTTCTCTAGGCCTGATCCAACTCCCATTGAGGTCAGTGGGAGACTCTCTTTTGTTTTTTTGGTTTTTAAATGTATAGGAAAATTCTACCTTTGTCCTAGATATATCTATCGGTTTTGAGGTGAATGTGACTTATTTTGTACATTTTAAAGCGGACCAAAATCAGGCTTTAAATGGAAACTTGGCTGCAGGCTTAACTATAGTCTGCTGCGTATGATAGAGTGGAGTTAATATGCAGTCCATCTTCTGTTTTGTGCAAGAAGGGATTACATATAGAAAGCCAATGTAGTCCAGTAGCTGGGCGCTGGACTAGGACCCAGTACATGGGAGGTGAACTCCTGGCTCCATTGAAGTCTGTGGCAAAACTCCTGTTGACTTAAATGAACAAGGAACTCACCCCTGAGTTCCATTTCTATCTCTACTACTAATTCACTCTGTGACCTTGAGCAAGTCACTTAGCATCTCTGTGCTTCAGTTTTCCACACCTGTGAAATGGGATAATAATGCTCAGGTGGTGTCTTAGGACTCTGAAATCTGTGGAGAAAAAGCACTATATAAGTGCTGATAATTATTATTTTATTTTATGTTCTTCATTTGCAGGGGAGAGATTTTATGAACTAGTCTTTTCAATCTCTAACATCCATGACAGCTGAGCCATTATAGGTAGATTCCCAATAATTCATGAAGTTATATCTAATGTAACAAAGGAACTGAAATTTTAATGTGCTTCGAATACTGGTACCTGAATATCTTTCTGGACAGTTGAAATCTCTCTTTGTAGCATTGTCATGATCCATCATAGAGAACCTCAGTTTTGTTTGTTCAGGCAGTGCATTGGGAATATTCCCTGAGATCTCTGAAAGATGAAGTGTGTAGTCTGTTTCTGGGCTTCCCAGGGTGAATGTGTACTCGACGTAACGTTTATTATCTTTCCAGTCTTTCAGCTCAATACGTAAAATGTAGTCAGCTTGGTTAGCAATGGAATATAACTTCGCTAGTCCCAACCAAAATTCCCCTGCAAGGACAGGTTGCATGAATATCATTAGTATGGAGTTAAGACAGAGCACAATTATTTAAAAAGGTTTATTCATTGCTTAATTAAATCAATAGTATGAGTCTTGGGAACTCTTGATCTTTTCAGAGAGTCTCCTGAAACATTCTTTTTGTTTACATCTTTTTAATTACACACTCGTGATCAATAAAAACTAGATATATAAATGAAATGGAACCTCTCCTAATTTTCACAGCACTTGTGAAGGACTGCAAAGGGGACTCCAGACATTTAAAAAAAATGCGTAACTGAAACAGTATGATAAGTGAAGCAAGTGACATATATAAAACTTAATTGTAATGGAAATGGATTTCACTTGTGGTTGTGGGGGTGGTGGTGGTGGTGGGCCTAAATTGGGATTTTGATGCCCTTATATAAAAAAAATGGATTTAATTTAAGTAGTTTTTCTCCTTCATGGACTTTTAATAGTTGAACATATCGTTTAGCAGAATATGAACCAGCTTCTTATTATGTCTATTGCTGATCCCCGTGCAAAAACAATACTGCCAAATGTGAATGCCACACAAGCAAGGTGCCCACCTACATTTCAAGGAACAAAGGACAAGCTCTTTTGAAAAGTACAGAACAATACTTTAAGAAGCAGCACTCCACCCTTTTACATTCATGTTAGAAAATCCTTCACAGGCCACAGTCATACATTGGTATCTCTGTATACTTGTATGATCCTTTGCATGATTTTTTCTGATCTGTGGAACAAAATGCACCCTATGTTGATATGGGATGTGGGAATTCTACACCAAGTAAGGCACATTCCTTAAAATAAGAGGCAGAAATCCTCCTACATGAGAAAATGCTTGCCTCAGTCCTATTTACTGCTCCAACACCAGAGGGAGGAGTGGAGCAACTCTTCACTGTTGCAGATGTGAAAGAAAGCAATAGTTGATATCATGCTGCTGTCTACCCACTGCTCTGTGGGTAGATTGGGAAATTGGTGGCTTGAATCTGCCACCTGAGTCCTGCCACGGTGAGTCTTTTTTCTGTAAAAGGCGAATCAAGTAATTTTTAATAGATGCATAGAAAAATCTGCTGGATAGGCAAGCTGTTAGCCAATGCTTGGCATTAAAAATGGTCTTAGAGTTGATGATTAACTAATATAAACATGGGTGTTTCCTCACCATTCACATGCCAGGTAAGATGATTGGCTGCCAACGATTGGGAGACTGAACGTGTAGAGAGGAAAATACTGTCTAGCTTAATGGTGTCTTGAGCTTGAACAATTGATGTGGTAGTGTTTAGTGTAAACATGGTATGGTTGGAGGAAGAAGTGCTACTTACTTTGCCGCTGTTTACTGTGTATTTCTTGTGGTCAGAAATGTGTATCAAGGAAACCTAGAACTTGGGGTGGGGAGTTTGAAAAGGGCAGAATCTAAATAAATAAAATAACATTTAAAGCTGAAATGAGTCTTTTTGGCCTTGATTTAGCAAAGCTCCTGAGCACATGTTTAAGGGAAAGCACATGCTTAAGTGCTTTGCTGAATTCAGGGCCTTATGTTTCCTGGTATGCAATAGACAGTGTCTCACATTAGCTATATGAGCTGCTCAGACTGGTTTGCTTGTTTCTGCCTGCTGGTGTGTGAATGCACTAGAGTCATCCCAGATTCCAGCATCTGAAAGCAGCTAACAGCCTATAAAAAATGAAGGAGCAAAAAGAGTGCCTTTACCTTTGAGATCTCCAAAACCATTTGCATAGCTCTCCCAGGTTTGGTTGAAATCTAGTGATCCATCAACTCTGTTTTGAATGACTGTCCATGAGCTGTCTGTGAATGACAAAGGGAAGGAAAACATAAACCTGGTAGGTCATTTTAACCATTTGTTTGGACTTTGACAAGAGCAGAGCCATAGATAAAAAGAGATTTACTTGTTCCATGTTAGTAGCTTTGCTGGGCATTTTCTAAATACCATTTACAGTCAACAAAATTCTCTTAAGTGGTAGCTCTTGACTGCTTAGGATATTATGCTCACATTCGTATAAAGCGTGACTGATTTTTTGTTTTGTTTTTTGAAGTAACCAGGTCATGACACCCTCATCTGACCCAGTTACAACAAACATGGTTGAATTATGACCCTTCAGCAGCTTCTTTTCACAGTGAAGCCACAGGCCAACCATGTTTGCACATCCAAACATATCACCTGGCCTCACTAGGTTTGCATCAGTGTGTGCCAGAGATCAGGGAGCCAAGAGGTCACTTACATAGAGCAGCACTGCCAGTCTGAGAGGCACTGTGCTGTGGTATGATATGATGGGAGGAAGGACAACTGGCCAGACTGGTGATGCACATGCGTGTGTACCACGAAATAACAGCATTATGACTTTGTTACAGGAAGACAAGCAGATACCAGCGTAGGCTGCTGGCAAAGATATACCATCGGTAGTTGCCATAGTTATTATGTGTGTATCAACCATGTTGTGCCTGGACACAATCCTTGTTTAGATCCAACATGGTCACTGACTGGTGACAAACTAATTGAAATGTGTTAGCATGGATAAACTCATAGCAGTTCTGTACCCCAGAATAACCTTGTAAAGAATCAAGTATCAGAGGGGTAGCCGTGTTAGTCTGGATCTGTAAAAAGCCACAAAAAGTCCTGTTGCTTTTTTTACTTATAAAGAATGCGTGTCAAACTATTCAAAGCATAACCACTGTTAGCTGGCCATGGTGAGTGTTATGCAATGAACTGGTTTAATTTAGAAAAGTTACTAGTTGTTTGTAATACAGTGTTAGTAATCATTGCTTTTTAGTGGTCATTCGGCTGTAGGGATGAAAAGCTATTTCCCGCAGAGGCTAATGGATTTACCTCTTGCTTATACTGAAGAATGGACTGAACAAAGAATGGAAGTGATTTCTTCAATTCTCTGTGGTATTTTGAAAAATAGGGACGAATTCGGAAATGCCACTGGCTGCAGTCAGCCTTATATAATAGATGACAACCTTGTGGGTGGTCTGCTGTAAGTTTTTGTGTACATTTTAGGGCAGTAAGCACATTTCAGTTTATCAGTAAACTGTTAAAGGAAGAATTACACTGCTTCTAGTGTAGCTGGTCTTACCAGATTTCATTTCACAATAGACATTAAAAGCTTCAGATCCGTTGGGTTTAATAGAGTAAATGCCACTCGTCCGTTCACCTCTCTTATAAAGGGCAGTGCAATCAGTAGCAACACCTGGAATAGCAATAATTAAAGAATTACAGATATCTTTTTGCAGTTAAGAAGCTTGAAGGACACAATCCAGCACTGCAAAGGTAATTGCCTTTTTCGAGCCTCTTGGAACAAAACAGAAGCTGGAATAGTTAGTTCAGCAGGAGTGTTCTTTTATGACGGTTCCTTCTGTGAAATGGGCAAATTAAATTCTATGGGCTAAAAATTACGTCAGAGGAAAAGTGGCCAACTGGTTGTTGGGCAGCTGGTGTTTGCTCAATTAGGCAAGGTTTCAATTTAGATAATCTTACAAAAGGGATAGTCTAAGAATAGACTGTTGGGCATAATGACTTCTTTTCTCCACAAAGTTCTAATCATGGTTGTTTGAATTAGGCTAGGTCTACACTACCCGCCTGAATCGGCGGGTAGAAATCAACCTCTCGGGGATCGATTTATCGCGTCCCATCGGGACGCGACAATCGATCCTCGAATCGACGCTCTTACTCCACCAGCAAAGGTGGGAGTAAGAGCCGTCGACGGGAAGCCGCGGAGGTCGATTTTGCCACCGTCCTTACAGCGGGGTAAGTCGGCTGCAACACTTCGAATTCAGCTACGCTATTCGCGTAGCTGAATTTGCGTATCTTAAATCGACCCCCCCCCCCGTAGTGAAGACGTAGCCTTAGACTGAATTCCCAGATGTTACTATTGCTGAAGTCTAAAAATGCTGATCAGCTTTAAAAATCTAATCCAAGTCCTGTCAATCCCAGTCTCAGTCCATTTCCAAATGGACAAATGCCTGCATCATCAAAACTCACAGTAAAGGTACTGCCTTGTATGTGTGATACAAAATGTAACCCAGGGAAAGGTCAGAGACTGAATTGCCTACCGAGACCGGACTATTTCAACCCTAGAAGTTGTCCCACTTTGTGAAAGTGGAGGCAAATTTGTGGGGCAGTGTGGGGAAATGTGCACTGCTGCACCTTTTATATAGTTAAATAGAGGACTCAAGTCTCCAAAGTTGAAAACCCATCCCCTTTCATAAGAACTGGCTTCATAGAGAAACTAGAAAAAGAAAGGTAAAAACCTCCTGTATCTGACCATTTAACAGTGAGCACATTCATGCATGCATATGCACTACTGCCAACACAATGCGTTACACAGTCATACCTAAAGCATTATATGATCTTACCATTGAATTCCTGAACTGGAGCTGTGGAATTATGTGAAGGAAGGGGAATGATCTTTGGTTCAGTTTGCTTCAGAGAAAATGAACTCTCTGTGTTTTCTTGGAAACTTGTATTGCTTAGCTGAAAAGAAGCATATTTATGTATTATTGATCTCCCAAGCATCTTGGAATTATAATCAAAAGTCATATACTTAGTTCAACAATCCAAGGTACTGTATCCATTTTTATTGTCAATTTAATCTTTTAAAGTAATCAGTGTACAGTACAATATGAAAAGTGTTTTATAAATGTTCTTGGAGATTTTGAATATACTAATCTATAAAAAGGGAAATAAAAACAACCCAGGAAACTACAGACCAGTCAGTTTAACTTCTGTGCCAGGGAAGATAATGGAGCAAGTAATTAAGGAAATCATCTGCAAACACTTGGAAGGTGGTAAGGTGATAGGGAATAGCCAGCATGGATTTGTAAAGAACAAATCACGTCAAACAAATCTGATAGCTTTCTTTGATAGGATAACGAGTCTTGTGGACAAGAGAGAAGCGGTGGATGTGGTATACCTAGACTTTAGTAAGGCATTTGATACGGTCTCTCATGATATTCTTATCAATAAACTAGGCAAATACAACTTAGATGGGGCTACTATAAGGTGGGTGCATAACAGGCTGGATAACCATACTCGGAGAGTAGTTATTAATTGTTCCCAATCCTGCTGGAAAGGGATAACAAGTGGGGTTCCGCAGGGGTCTGTTTTGGGACCGGCTCTGTTCAATATCTTCATTAACAACTTGGATATTGGCATAGAAAGTACACGTACTAAGTTTGCAGATGATACCAAACTGAGAGGGATTGCAACTGCTTTGGAGGATAGGGTCATAATTCAAAATGATCTGGACAAATTGGAGAAATGGTCTGAGGTAAACAGGATGAAGTTTAATAAAGACAAATGCAAAGTGCTCCACTTAGGAAGGAACAGTCAGTTTCACACATACAGAATGGGAAGAGACTGTCTAGGAAGGAGTACAGCAGAAAGGGATCTAGGGGTTATAGTGGACCACAAGCTAAATATGAGTCAATAGTGTGATGCTGTTGAAAAAAAGCAAACATGATTCTGGGATGCATTAACAGGTGTGTTGTGAGCAAGACACAAGAAGTCATTCTTCTGCTCTACTCTGCGCTGGTTAGGCTTCAACTGAAGTATTGTGTCCAGTTCTGGGCACCACATTTCAAGAAAGATGTGGAGAAATTGGAGAGGGTCCGGAGAAGAGCAACAAGAATGATTAAAGGTCTAGAGAACATGACCTATGAAGGAAGGCTGAAAGAATTGGGTTTCTTTAGTTTGGAAAAGAGAAGACTGAGAGGGGACACGATAGCAGTTTTCAGGTATCTAAAAGGGTGTCATAAGGAGGAGGGAGAAAACTTGTTCATCTTAGCCTCTAAGGATAGAACAAGAAGCAATGGGCTTAAACTGCAGCAAGGGAGGTTTAGGTTGGATATTAGGAAAAAGTTCCTAACTGTCAGGGTGGTTAAACACTGGAATAAACTGCCTAGGGAGGTTGTGGAATCTCCATCCCTGGAGATATTTAAGAGTAGGTTAGATAAATGTCTATCAGGGATGGTCTAGACAGTATTTGGTCCTGCCATGAAAGCAGGGGACTGGACTCGATGACCTTTCGAGGTCCCTTCCAGCCCTAGTATTTATGAATCTATAATGCTAACATGCCTCTTTGGGCTGGTCTATACTTAGCCGCTAGTTCGGCGGCTGGAAATCGAACTTCCTGGTTCGATTTATCGCTTCTGGTCTGGACGCGATAAATCGAACCAGGAAGTGCTCGCCGTCGACTGCGGTACTCCAGCTCAACGAGAGGAGTACCGCGGAGTCGACGGGGAGCCTGCCTGCCGCGTGTGGACCGCATCTGAACCGCGGTAAGTTCGAAGTAAGGTATGTCGAATTCAGCTACGTTATTCACGTAGCTGAATTTGCGTACCTTACTTCGACTTGGGGGGTAAGTGTAGACCAAGCCTTTGAAACTCATGTTTGGTCTATGAAACTCCTTCACTGAGATAAGCTGCCAATTTGCTTACCTGTCTATTTGACATGTATCATGATCGGTGGATGGACTTAAGTTGGCACCTAAATAACACCACTCAGGTAACTAGTCCCAACCTCTAGAGAGTTTACGGAGCCCTTGGGCCCTGCATTAAAAACTCTTTTCTTTTGGGGCCTGCTCTGAGGAGTGAAATTAAATAGGAGCATGTCAGTTTCAAAAACATGTCAGTTGTACCCACAGCTGTGGTAACAGAGGTTAAACATTTTAGTGCAGAGGCATGGTGCTGTGTTGAAATGAATATAGCAGCAGAGAGGAGGAAAAAGGGAAAATAACTTAACAGTGGGAGGCAGGAGAAAGGACAGAGTTGGAAGAACAGTGAGATTGGTAATTAGAGAATTAAACAACATGAGAAAAGTTACAATCCCCAAACATGCCCCACTTGGGTTTTATGGTCCATGGTGCAGAACTTTATACTCCGCATTCTTGTGCCCTAGCCCCAAACACATACCACAGTACCACAACAGTTCTGTCGCATTTAGCAGTTGCACACCCACAAAAAGATTGTGTCCCAAGCTTTGCATTTTGGCCCCTGGGGTTATTTCCCCCCCTAGGTATCTCAGACAATCAGAATGTATTCTGGAAAGGAGAAGTGTATTCAGATAACTAGTTCCTCTACCTTCTCTTCCAGCTCCTTTATTTGATTGTGCTGTTTATCAAGTTGTGCATGCTGTTCTTGTACAACTTTGAGAAGTTGCCTAATGTGGTTGTCCTGTTGCTGTACAAAATTCTGGAGGGGAAAAAAGTGGAACTTCATCAAAGACAGCTTTCATTCTGTGTTAGAAAGATCAGATTAATGCCTTAGCAAAAGTAGCCTTCAACCAATCTTTTTTTATCGGTGTCAGTTTTTAAAGGCAAAACCACTGCACAATGGTTATTGTTTTCCTTTATTTTGCCTTCCCTGTCCTAACTTGTGAGGCAGAATCCTCTCTTTTCCTCTGCAATGAGTATCTACACCAATTATGGATCAAATTTATGTAGCTCTTACTTGAACAAAACTGCTCTCAGCTTCAGAGGCCTTCATTTGGTCCTTTATTTCAAACACTTTAATCCCACTCTGTAGGTGATTCAAAGAATGAATTTTTGTGGAGCTGTCTTTTGTGTTTTTAATTGAACTATATAAATAACACATACCAGTAGGCCAGTAGAGAGGAAGGATGCTCCAGTGGTTAGGCCTTGGAAGACCTGAGTTAATTTCCCTGCTGTGCCATGAGTTTTCTGTGTGACCTTGGGCAAGTCACCTAGCCTTTCTGTGCCTCAGTTCCCATCTGTAAATTGGGGATAATGGCACTGCCTTACCTCCCAGGGTGTTGTGAAGATAAATATATTGAAAATTTTGAGGTGCTCAGGTACTGTGGTGATGGGGACCATATAAGTACCATAGATAGATAACCCCTCTTTAAAGTTCATTTTTTAAATATGTGTTACTAAATCTTATAAACATTAAACCTATCAGAATTCACATAGACCACCATTTTGCAATGGAACTGTATTGTGCTGTAGTTTTGTTAATCTGATTTCCAAAGGGTTTACCATTATGGTTTAGTGTACTTTGAAATTGATTTTTTTTTTTTAAGTGCAGAGCAAAATATATAGGGCCATATCATTCCATCTGTTTTCAAGCATATTTCCTCACTGATTTCTTTGGGGATTTATGCTTTAAAACTGATGACATTTTGTGGCCCATAATAAGACACTTGAATTGATTTCTGCAAGACTATTAGTCTCCAGATTAATATACAAAGCTTATTTCTCAAAATACATATTACTGCTTCTAGAAATGTGTGGAGGAAACATGGCTTTCAGAGTAACACTCCCTAAAATAGCATTCCGATTTACTTTGGCTTTCTACTCTCTGGGTGTCCTCAAGTCTACTTACTTTGAGTGAAGTCATTTCTTTCGGTTCTTGAACTTCAGGCTGGATGTGGACTAATTTAATTACTTTCTCTTCCAGCCCCCCTACTTTCTCTTGAAGCTGGATCTTGTCTTGTAATAGGTCTTCAATCTTTGAGTTCAGCTCGAGGGATATATTCCTTATCTCTTCATTGTTGGCCTGCAATCTGGAAGTTGTTTTTCTGAGCTCTTCTTCTTCTACCTTGATTTCATTGGTTTGCAGTGAGAGCTCATAAAAAGACTTGTCAAAAATGTTCAGTTTTTGAAAGATGTCGTTCATTTGCCCCTTGGTCTTGTGGACAAAGTCTTTAAGGCCGTGCCCAAGCTGGAGAAGCCCATTAGCTAAAATCCGCACATCATCTAACATGGCAAATCTTGAGTTTGGCTCAGGAGGTGCAGAATCAATGGAAGAGTAGTCCTTGTCAATTTTACTTGAAATAGCAAAAGGGGCAATGAAAAGAAAGACGAGAGCTATTTTCATGGTGTCTGTTTCCAATGTCCTAAGGTAGTTTTGAACAGAGATGTTTTCCCTAGTTACAGTTTTTGCTGTATGGTGGTTCTAGGTTGAAGAATTTAGCCTATATATATGCCTGTTCGGTTCAGAAAAGGCAAACGGATTCAGTTGATCATTAAACCATGTATAATTGAACTAATGTAACCTCTGTCCTGTCCAGGTTGATATCTGGAAAGATAAACCTGTGTGACCAGCCTGTTGCTGATTAAACTAGTACTTGGATTTCCAATATGCCAGCTATTCTATTGTTAAAATTATTGGTCGATGTGATGTATTGATGGATATACCCCTTTCTTTACAGGTTCATTTTTTTAATCATAATCTTGAACTATGGATAAGGGTCTAAATTACCTCTGAGTTGCAGTGTAAGGGTTCTTTACTTTGCCAGAGGAATGTAAAAGGGCCTTAGCATAAATGAGACGCAATCTCTGTGTTTCAGATTCTGCCCTCTATTGGGGATGGGGGAGACATCCTACAGAAGGGCAATTCACTGAGCCTGACTCTGATCTCACACCACTTTGACACTGGTGTAATTCAATGTACTTCAACTGATTTACTCTTCAGTTACCCCAGGATAAGTGACAGCAGAATTAGACACAGTAAATGTAGACTCATTGGGCTTGATTTTCCACTCCTTTGCACCTTCTTTAAGTTCTTCAATCCTGTGCACAGTGGATGTAAAACGCTACCACTGGTGTACATGAGTGGAGAATTCTGATTTGGCAGATTCACTTTGTGATCATTTTGCACAAGTGTACATGACTTCTCAAGGTTCAAGCAGTGGAAATCAGAACCACTGGGTTTCTGAGGCATCATGTGATCAGGAGGGCAAAGGTTGATGCTCATGATTCCTTAGGAACCTAAAGGAAACTCCAGCAAACCATGAACCATCCGCATGGAGCATCTGCCAATCCATGCTAATCCGCTTCCTTGATATCCTCTTCCTAAGTAGCTGTGCTACCATTTACCATCCCCTCTATGCCTATGCTGGACAGTCCTCTGAGTGCTGGGAGTGTTTTTAGGACATCATGAGTTTCAGCGGGAAATTCTGCAGGGGTTTCCATATGTTTGCAGGGTGAATTTGCATGGGTTTGTGGATGATGCAACTGAGATAAACTTTTCCTGGTCTTAGGGTATGTCTGTATTTAAACTGCTACAGCTGTGCTGTCGTAATGCTTTGGTGTAGACACTATCTATGTTGATGGGAGGGGTTCTTCCATCAGCATAGGTAATCCACCTCCCAAGAGATGATAGCTAAGTCTTTTTTTGACTTAGCGCGGTCTACACTTGGGGTTAGGCTGGCCTAGCTATGTCTCTCAGGATTGTGGATTTTTCACACCCCTGAGAGACGTAGCTATGCCAATGTAAGTTCCTAGTGTAGACCAGCCATTAATTTAGCTTGGCTATGCAAAGCCCCAAACCATGGGCATTCCCATGGGTGGGTGAAAGGGACAAAGCCATATTTAGGCTTGGTCTGTACTTGAAAGTTATACAGACGCTCCCCGGGTTACACAAACCCGACTTATGGAAATCCGGATTTACGGAAAAAGTTCTGTAAGCTTTTTTTTTTTTTTTCCCATAATTGTCGGAGATATGTTCCCGACTTACTCAAAATTCGACTTACGCAAGGCGTTCCGGAATGGAACGCTTGCGTAAGGCGGGGAGCGTCTGTATCAACATAGCTGTGTTGGTCAGGAGTGGGGGGAAACCACACCCCCGACTGGCATAGTTATGCTGACATAATCCCCAATGCAGACACAGCAGTGTCACTGGAGGAGTGTTTCCATCAGCATAGCTAATATTGTTTCGGGCAGGTGGTGTTCCTACATGGACAGAAAAACCCCTTCTGTCAGCACAGGCTGCGTCTACGCTACGAAGCTATGCCAGCATAACTATTCCAGTTTAGCTATGCCAGTATTGTCTCCGTGGTATAGACATACCCATAGATCTCCCTTGCCGTAAAATCCTTCTCCATGGCCTAGATTTGGCCCTAAATAAAGTAAGTTTGGGTGGGGGTAGTCTTGCAAGGATGATCTGAAGAAAGTGTTCAGCTTTATGACTGGAACGATTGCCTGCTTTAGAACCAACCAGTTTGCAAGGAGCAGTGAAGTTTTGAATTAACAGTGGCTTGTGGCGCAGTCACATACAAATATAGGAAATCTGCCCACACTGATTATAATGTGCCCTCTAGCACTTTTGGAGGATTTTCAAGGTTTTTCCCAGAGTGCTGGCTGGAGTGGGGAGAGCCTCCTAGTTGCTCAACTTTATTTATTTATTTATTTGCATATGTGCGCATAACTCAGTGTCAAACAGGAAAGTGTATTGAAATGAAGTTGTTAACCCGGGCACTGAACCTCTGCATGAGAAAATTTGGTGACATGCAATAAATCATAAAATATTAAGTGGCATGAAAATTATTTTTAAATTCTGTTGCACAGATTAATAGCTAGAGTAATATATTACATCGGTGCAGTAGGAATCTGAGTGATCAGCTCATGTACACCAGTCACAGAAAAACGATAGAGAATCTGGATAAAGTTCATAGCTCTGGACAGTGGAATTTCATTATAAATCGGCTAGCATATGATCAAAGCAAATACAAGAAATAATCTGATGTAATAGTCAGTACTTCACAGCAGACCACAACCACATTTCTCATAGTATCCCAAGGAGATAATCTTGATGAGAGACAACAATCCAGCAGACTTGGGCCCTGCAATGCAGTCTGCTAGCAGGAGCCTGCAGTTGGCGACCATGTTTGAGGATCTTGTTTTGGAAGAACGCTGAGACAAATCACTAGAAAATGTTTTGTAGGAAACATTCGTAAAATGACAGGGGGATGAATGAACAGACAGCATGACAAGGGGCTGTGAATAATTAGGAATTTGATCCTGAAATGTATCTAAAAAGTCAGGCAAAGAAAAGATTTAAACATCAGGAGGGCAATCCATGGTTTTTAATTCTTTACCCTCAGATATTTTGAGGACTTGGGCCCCAGTCCTAGGATCCAGCGGAACTACGCTGGGTACAGAACTCAAGTGGGGTAGGGAGTCAGAGACAGCTTTGTGCCACTCTTTGTGTTCCTCTTGTTTGTGGTGCTGCGGGGGGCCAGCCCAGCCCACGGCACAAATGATCTTAACATGTTTTTAGTTTATAACCAAATCTCCAAAAGATTTCATGTTTAACCTGATGTGACTTTACCCTGCCTGTCTCTTTACCTGATAGAACAAATCACAAAACTGAAAAAATGGCCGTCACTAAAGGAATATAGGTGCATGTATACACACGCACGCACCCCTACCTTCCCTCAATGCAAGGTTTTTTTTGATGGTTTGTTTCCTTTTAGTTGATTAGAACCTGCTTTAAGTCAGGTAAGAAATAAGCAAGTGTAAGATGTAGAAGGAGCCATTTCTAGCTGAGAGAAGTTTAGCACAGATCTTAGTAACCATATCACAAGCAGGTTCTCTTTTGATGTCCCTGGTAAAGTGACAGGCAGGGTCCAGTTTCAAGTTTTGGCTGTGGTTATGTGCAAGAGGCATGCACAGTTAGCCCAGCCAGCCAGTAGTGAAGTCTGTCTGGTCACCTGTTGTATGCAGTGTTGCTGTAGCCATGGTGGTCCCAGAATATTAGAGAGACAAGGTGGGTGGGTGAGGTTATATCCAGTAAAAGATATTCTTTCACCCACCGTGTCTCTCTGGTCACTTGTTGTCAGACGTAACAAACAGTGGAGGTTTTTTTAGTGTAAAAGGACATTGGAAACGAGTTTATTTTTGGTTGTTTGTTCCTAATCATTTCACCTCCATTTGTCCTATTCCCTCTGCTGATCATCTCCTGTGCATTGATGTTCTGGAGTTCCATTGAAATCAGAACAGTGTGTCTTGATGGACAAAGTATTGTGGTGGCACTGAAGGTGTATTTGCCCAACATATTCAACATGTTAAGAAGCATCATAGAAGTTAAGTAGTTTGTAATTTATTGAATGGTTTAGTATTTCCCTGAGAGAATGTGTAGAGGAGTGAAGAGAGCAGGAGAAGGGGAGTCAGGGCCAGGGCCAGCGGGGGGGGGGGGGGAAGCTGGTACAAATTACCGGGGCTCGGCGGTCCGGAAGGGGGCCCAGGGCCCGGCTTCCCCCCTCTCTCGTCGGCCCTGTTTAGCCGGTCCGCCCTTGCTGGGGGGCCCCCAAAAAATTTTAAACCGGGGCCCGAACCCGCTCTCAGCGGCCCTGGTCAGGACTCCTGGGTTCTCTAACTTGCTGTGTTAGCGTGGACAAGTCACTTAACCAGCCTGTACCTCAGTTTTCCTTGTTGTAAAAAGGAGATAATACTCTCCTTCGTTAGAGTCCTGTCACTTAATTTATGTTTGTAAAGCACTTTGAGATCTTCAAATTAATAGTGTTAGAGAAATGTCAAGTAATTTTTTACAAGGTTCTTGTTTTGTGCTGTTTTGTTTGTAAGAGGAAATAAAAGGGAATAAAAACAGTGCATTCGTTTTTTGTCAGCAGTATTTGGTGGTGTATCTACTAAACAACAAGTGTAATGCTACCTAAAGATGCCTCAGTTTGATCTGCACAATTAAGGGTGATTATATAGAAATCATTACAAAGTTAACAGAAATATTCACTATCCCCAGGTATGCTACAAACTCATAGTATTGTTAATAAAATTTGAAAATTGTGGTCTCCTGACCTGTTTTCATGACAGCAGCCCCTAGTCACTTATTTCCTAGGCCAGTGGAGTCCATATACACACCAAAAGTTTACGCATTTAAGCAAAGCGCTGCATGTGCATATCTTTAAGTATGTTTAGTAGTTCCATTGATTTTAATGGAACATGTCAAAGGTTATGCATGTGCTTATGTGCTATGTTGCATCAGGGCTTTAGATTCCAGGTACATTGTGATGAACGTGGCTAATCCATTGAATAACAATGACTTTGGCTGTGGCTTTTGACGTTGACTGTAGCCTTGCTCACAAACTTGGCTACAAGATGATAACCACAAATATTGTGGCTTA